TGTGTGTGTGTGTGTGTGTGTGTGTGTGTGTGTGCGAGAGAGAGCATCTGCAACTACTAAACCTGGGGGCCGTAAGAGCACGAGGAGACTCTGGCGGCCGACTGAGGCTCCAGCATTTGAGGTGCGCATTGGTGCATGCATTTGTGCCGCTGGGGCAAATTGACTTTTGGAGCAATCTTTATTCTAATTTGCTACATTTTTTATGGCCTTTTTAAGTCAACTCTGTTGTTATTGATAGTGCTAGCAATGGTGGAGCTAGTAATGATGATGTTGGGGTAGGTGGTGGTGGTGGTGATGGTGGCGGTGGCTGGGGAGTGGGGTGTTTTTTTCACCAGACCAGTCGAGATGACAAAGGAAGAGCTCGTTGTGATAGGCTAGTCCTTTAATGTGATGAAAATTGTCAATTTATTGGTCTCCCAACCCCAAATTCCCTCATTCCGACAACAATTCAACAAGATGACGAAACCAAGCGACGAGACCAAAGTGGGGCAATTGGGAGGGTGGGCGGGGCATTGGGAGGGGGATGCGTCTGGTGAAGATAAAGGTATGTCAATGACCTTATGCAAAGAAGTTTCCAGACGGAATACCGACTATGCCTCGGAAGGCTTGATATCCGTGTCTCGTTAATTGTAGAGGAGGAGTAACGGTTTACACATTAGGCGCACACGCTGTGTGGTTTAGGGCTAAATTATGTGTGCGTCTGTCTGGCCATGTTATCCTCCCACGGCCATCTTCCCTTCCTCTTTCCACACCAAGTCCAGCTGGATCCAGTTCAGCCAGCCAAAGCGGAGCCTCGACCTTAGGGCCTTCAGAATACAGTCTAACGTCTGAGCGGACGCATGCACATGCTTCGCGTTTGTGCAGCCGGCTCCAGGTTGTCTGGACACCCTTGCCTGGGCACTCGGGTAGCTCAGGTTTCCCTTTGGCGTATGAAACACAGCGGTGGCCATGGCGGCTACACGGCCAGACCGTCTGGAGCCAAACAGGGCAACAGCCCTACAGAGGACGGCAACCAGGACGGACAAGGTCATGTGACCAAACAGGTTGCAGACGCTATCGCTTTTCAACTGCTCCCGTCAGCTTGCGTTTATGTCTGAACAAGTTGCCTGGCCGAGGGTAATGGATAGTTAAAAAACTCCAATGACCTGACCTAGTCCGGCGTACATACATACGCACACGAATACGCAAATGTACCCAGGTAATGAGTGTTGTTGGAAGGGGGAGAAGGAGAGCGAGAATGAGAAGGTGGTAGTGACAAGTGAAAGTGTGCTAGTCAGGAAAGAACTATGCGTGTAGGGCAAATTCTCGCCTCCGAGATCAATAGTTGGAGGAGTCTATCCTTCGAGGGAATGTTCTGCGATTTGTCTTGTGATGACAACTGACGCGTCTTAGAGTAAGTGCCGTCTGGCCGTCCACAGAGCGCGGCAATTAAACTGGGATTCACACTCAATTCACTGGTTGGTGTGGACTCGAGCCCAGCTTGGGGGATAAATGCTTCTAAACAAAATGGACTCGAAATTGTTTAACTTTGTTTTCGCAACTTGACCATGTTGTCAAGGCGACCCAGATGAACGCACATTGTCTAAAGTCCTCTGTCAGTGTAGTCAAAACGTATGCTTGGTACATTCCCAGACGTTCCGTCGACATCGTTAATGAGTCATGACATCATACCCTGACCAACTTTCAGCCGAACGACTATGGAATCACTCTTTCTTCTGTCCTGGTACATCTTTAATTCTCTATCATCATATCGAACTCTCTCGTTGGCACAAAGTAAGTTTGGTGAGCTGTTATCACTCATCTCGCTGATTTATTTCGACCCCCATCCCTCTTGATTTGCCACAATTGCTAATCCAAATTGGACCTTTCAGATAAGTCTCATCGTGCGCCATACTGTGGCCCCAGCTAATAGGTCTCTGAGGATTAAAGAATCAAATCAAA